CACACATGAATAACCTGGGCAATAGTGTCCATTGTTAAATCCACCCCTCGATCACGAGCCCATCTGTATGTTGAATCTCTGCCCTGATGGCCTGAAGTGTCATGGGCCCACCCGGCCAAAAAATAATTCTCCGTTATGTTGCCAATCTAAGTCCATCTGAGCCACTTCAATCTTAGCAGCTTTATCCACTTGTTGGTTGTTCTGGTGTTCCTCACTGGCCCGACTCCTGGGTACATGAGCTTATACATGGCATGCCTTCACCACCAGGCTCTGCACCCGGGCAGCGATATCTTGCCACACTGCAGCAGCCCAGATGTGTTTCCCTCTGTGTTGCCAATTGCTCTGCTTCCATTGCTGCAACCACCCCCACAGGGCATTTGCTACCATCCATGAGTCAGTATAGAAAGTAATGGCCACCTTTCTCGTTCAGCAATGTCCAGGGCCAGCTGGATGGCTTTCACCTCGGCAAACTGACTCGATTCACCCTCTCCTTCAGCAGTTTCTGCAACTTGTCGTTGAGGACTCCGTATGGCTGCCTTCCATCTCTGATGCTTTCCCACAGTAGGGCAGGACACATCAGTAAACAAGGCATATTGCTTTTTAATTTCTGACAGTTTATTATATGGTGGGGCCTCTTCAGCACGCATCACCTCCTCCTCTGGTGGCATTCCAAAATATTTGCCCTCTGGCCATTCCATGATGACTTCCAGAATTCCTGGACTACTGGAATTTCCTATTCAAGCTCATTGTGTAATTAGTGCAGCCCACTTACTCCATGTAGCATCGGTTGCATGATGTCTAGAGGAGACCCTGCCTTTGAACATCCAGTCCAGCACGGTCAACCGGGGTGTCAGAAGGAGCTGTGCTTCAGTGCCAGTCACTTCCGAAGCAGCTCAAACCCCTTCATAGGCTGCCAGTATCTCTTTTTCTGTTGAGGTATAGCTGGCCTCAGATCCTCTGTATCCCTGATTCCAAAAGCTGAGAGGTTGACCTCGAGTCTCCCCTGGAGTTTTCTGCCAGAGGCTCCAGGTAGGACCATTCTCCCCAGCTGCGGTGTACGGTATATTTTTTACATCTGGCCCAGACTGGACTGGTCCAAGGGCTACTGCATGAACTACCTATCGTTTAATTTGTTCAAAGGCTTGTTGTTCTTCAGGGCTCCTTTTGAAATCAGTCTTCTTCCAGGTCACATGATGTAGAGAAGGTTTACAAAGAGACTGTAATTTGACATGTGCATTCTCCAAAACCCCACAACACCTAAGGAAGCTTGTGTTTCTTTCTTATTAGTTGGTGGAGACATTGCTGTTATCTTGTTGATCACCACATCTGTGGGGATCTGGAGACGTCCATCTTGCCCTTTTATTCCCCTAAATTGAATCTCCTGTGCAGGTCCCTTGACCTTACTCCATTTTATGGCAAAACCAGCATTCAGCAGGATTTGGATTATTTTCCTGCCTTTCTCAAAGACTTCTTCTGCTGTATTGCCCCACACAATAATGTCATCAATGTATTGCAGGTGTTCTGGATCAGTCCATGGCAGATGGTAGGGCTGTGTTTCCACCCCTGAGGCAATCGGTTTCAAGTGTACTGGATGCCCCTCCAAGTACTACTTGTCTGCCTTTGACTCCAGTTCATGCTGAAGTTCTAGCATGTCCGGTATGGCAGCATTCAATGGTGGTGTGACTTCATTCCGGCCACAGTAGTCTACTGTTAGTCTCCACTCTCCGTTAGACTTTTGCACTGGCCATATGGGGCTATTAAAGGGTGAGCGGATCCTTCTGATCACTCCTTGGCTCTCCAGTCTATGGATCACCTTATGGATGGGAATCAGGGAGTCTCGGTCAGTGTGATTATTGCCGCCGGTGCACTGTTGTGGTCGCGTTTGGTACTTGTCCTTTGACATTCGGCAACCCCACAACAGAAGGATCCTCTGAGAAATCAGGCAAGGTGGACAGCTGCTCAATTTCCTCAGTCTCCAAGGCAGCAATACCAAAAGCCCATTGGTACCCTTTTGGGTCTTTGAAGTACCCTCTCCTGAGGTAGTCTATGCCAAGGATGCATGGAACCTCTGGACCAGTCACAACAGGGTGCTTTTGCCACTTCCTCCCAGTCAGGCTGATTTCAGCCTCCAGTACAGTCAACTCTTGGGATCCTCCTGTCACTCCAGAAATATAGATGGGTTCCGCCCCTTGACATCTTGATGGCATAAGGGTACACTGTGCACCGGTATCTATTAGAGCCTTATACTTCTGTGCGACTTATGTGCCAGGCCATCTGATCCACACAGTCCAATAAACCTAATTGTCCCCTAGCTCCACCTGGCTGGAGGCAGGGCCCCTCTAATAGTGATCGCAATATTGGCCACTTACACCTTGTTGACAGGGATTAGTCTTTATCACAGGAGCTGGTGTAAAATCAGCTCTTCCATTCCATCTGGGAACCTGCTCACCAGAGACTTAAGCCACAGCTTTCATGGGATGATCATCCTTGACCTTTGTTCTCGTCTTCAATTCACGCACCTGTTCCTCCAGAGATGAGGTAGGTTTTCCATCCCACTTGCTCCTGTCTTCTCCATGATCCCACAGGTAAAACTATAGGGTGGCCCATGGCGTGTACCTCTATATCTTCTTTCTTAAGCAGTAGGAAGCCCAGCCAGTAACTCACAACCATGCAGCCGCTCACTCACTCCCTTGATTCTTCCCCACTGTTCCCAGCAGGATGGGGAGGAGAACCAAAGGAATGTAAATACAGTGGGCTGAGATAAGAACAGTTCAGAAACTAAAGTATCATATAAAAATACTACTACCACCACTAATAACAACAATGATAAGAGAGAGAATATAAAATTAAAAAGATAAGAAAAAAACAATAAACACAAGTAATGCCCAATAAAGTTGCTCACCGCCTGCTGACTGATACCCAGACTGACTCATGCAGCGATCTGGGCATTCCGTGTGACTCTCCCCAGTTTATATACTGGGCATGATGTGCTGTGTTATGGAATACCCCTTTGGCTAGTTTGGGTCAGGTGTCCAGTCTCTGCTTTCTCCCAGCTTCTTCTCCCCTCCTCACTGGCAGAGCATGAGAGACTGAAAAGCCCTTGATTGGGGTAAACATTACTTAGCAACAATTAAAGAAATTGGTGTGTTATCAGCAATGTTCTTAGACTAAAGCCGAAACGCAGCATTGTGCCAGCTACTAAGAAGGAGAAAAATAACTGTTAGAGCTGTAGGGTATGTTGGAGAGTCTCAGTGTAGAATTCTTTTAGTCCCCTAGGACAATCGCAGAACCATAGAATGCTTTGGGTTGAAGGGGCCTTAAAGCTCATCCAGTTCCAACCCCCTTCCATGGGCAGGGACATCTTCCACTAGACCAGATTGCTCAAGGCCCATCCAACCTGGCCTTGAACACTGCCAAACAAGTACATTTACAGAACAGAAATCCAAACGGAAAAATCTAATCTCCAAATAAGATTTTTTAGTATGGAAACCATCTTGTTCTGACGTTGCCATCTTGTACTAGCCAAAAGTGCCATATGATAAGGGTTGGTTGGTCCATGTCTGTTCCCCCCAGGCCCTCTCTTTTTTTTTTTTTTTTCCATCTGACTTGATTACTGGACTGTTAAAACTGGAATATATCTATGCTAAAGCTCCTTGTAAACAAATAGTACAGTCACCTTCACATCATCACTATGATAATATTTCCCTTTTAAGGAAGAAATAGATAATTTTAAATCTATGTTTCCTTCTATTGACATCAGTGGGAATGTTACCAGCAGGAGCAAAACATGGTAAGAGAAGTATCAGCTGTAGCTGTTACTTTAAGCCTACTTAACTTGTGGATTTTGGAATGTGAACTGATCAGTAGAGGTTCAGGATTAAAGCCACATCCTAGCTCAGTCAGCCTACGCTGGCCACAGAGTTCCACCTGCCACTGAAATACCATGTGGTGGCCAGTAACACAGACAGGGAATTAGACTTGCTGAACAAATGCACAGATCCAGGATGATAAATCCCATTGACACACAGATCTAGTCTCCAATGCCGTTAAGTCATTAAGCATGATCAAAAATGTGAAAAATCATAAACCCGTCATCATAAGCCTAATTTTTTCTTTGCAGAAAGGAAAATAACTGGATTGTTTGGACAAATCACCAAAACTCATGGAACAATCATTGCCATCACATCAGGGATAGTTTTAGTACTTCTCATCATTTCAATTCTAGACTTGGTAATCCCCAGATAAACAAAAGGAAAATTAAGTATGTTTATTTCATAGAATCATAGAATAATAAAATAGTTAAGGTTGGAAAGGACCTTAAGATGATCTAATTCCAACCCCCTGGCCATGGGCAGGGATACCACACACTAAAGCATGTTCCCCAAGACTCTGTCCAACCAGGCTTAGAACACAGGCAGGGATGGAGCATTCACATCTTCCCTGGGCAACCCATTCCAGTTCCTCTCCACCCTTACCCCTGATTTTCTTACTTTTATTTTTGTACTAAGGTCATAAGGACCTAAAACTAAGCCAGCTAGAGCGATTTATCTTACAGAAGGATTCTCATTATGTTCTTTGGGCGTATTCTGACTAGTTTTTGTGAAACATTTACCGGAGTTACTTTCTATTGCTAATGTTACAAAGCCATCAAACAATGTTATTTAGAACTGATTTTAGTTAAAGAAGGGTAAATTTTTCAGTGAAAATTGGTAATTAAATTCAGAATGTAATGTAGGAACAACATACCGAATAGCGATTTTTGGTGTTTTGCTGGAAACCTGTGCTGTCAGTATAGAATTACCTCATTCAGATAAGGTCAATCTTTGTGGAATAATGTTATCTAAAAAAAATAAAAAATCTGTCTCTGTACCCTGCAATTGATTCAGTAAACAATTTTTATTGTGATATAATAATAGACATAATCTTCAGATTATACTAAACCTTGAAGTGAATCTTAAACACTGATAGCCCGTGTGATTCATTACTTCTTTCTATTACAGATCCTGACTCTACTTACCTAGGAGGTATTTTAAATCCCATACCAGGTCTAGTATTACAGTAACAATTTCTTTATACATTAAATTTAAAATTAATATCATATTGAATTTGACAGCAAGGTATATCTTCTCCCTAGACTGCCAGTTTGAACTCTCAGGAGCTGATGGAATAGTACATTCCAGTCAAGTACAACAAGAAGGAAAAACAAAGCCAGGGCAACCAGTTGACTGCATATGGACAATTAAAGCTACTCCGAATGCTAAGGTGAGTTTCATTCATATCATTCAACATATAATGGGTTTCTAAGTCATTAGTAACAGGTAATAGTCACTAGCTGTGATTTACATAATGTCTCTCTTTCAGTGAGATGAGTGAGTTACCAGTGGCTTAGGAAATCCAGATTGTTCCTGAAATTAAATTTATAGAGCAAGTCCACAGTCTTGACTTCCTATTATTTGAAACTTAAAATTCAAAATAACTGTGAACACTGTTCAAGCAACAGTTTTCAAGGGCATTTGACTTGGACTCTGGTTTTATTGGAAGACCGCAGGCAAAGATGCTAGCTAACAGCTTTGATAAGTTCCCTTAAATCTTGCTGCCACATCTTAAAATTTTGCCTCCGGTGGTTCTATTGGAAAATTTGGTTCTGTTCAGTGTCAAAAGAACATGTACCTGCTCCTCCTCAGTGTAATTCACAATCCAGCACCTTAAACCCCACTTTCATCAGTAGCCTGAGCTAAAATGAAAGGCTTTGCCTGGAAGCAGCTAAGGAATTGTCACTCTTCTTCTGACTTGGCTATAGCATCACGCCCTCTTAAAGTGCCACAATAAAATTTGCTAGAGCTTTTCTGCCCAAGCCCTAAAGGGGCATAGTAACTGTTCAAGCCAAAAATCAGCATATGTTACCTGGGTACCTGGTATTTGTGATTGTGCCTGCAGATCTAGAGACTGCTTATGAAATCATCACTATCTTATGCTCATTAAAACAACTTGAGCTTTATTGTTGGTCAGAGAGAAGTATAAAATTCTATTCATAATTCCAAAATACAATATCTATAGCCTGTTCAACAAAACCCGACAGCTATATGTTTCAGACATAGAATGGTTAATAATTTGAGTTGCACTGAAGAGTACATATTTTTTTCTTCCATATAGTATACACATCTTTCATTTTGCTCCTGTATGTGTGTTAAAGCGCATATCACTGCTTGCATGTACACAAGAATTAAAAAAAATATTTCTAAGCAGTAGCTGCCAAGATGACAAGCCTACTCTATGCCTTCTTACATACCCTTAATGGTTAACTAACCAGCCCTGTTACCACAAAAGACAGACGAATAAACTCTCTAAGGCTCGATTTGGAGTTTTAGAAAACAGGAATTCCTTATTGCAGCGCTGGTGCACACACACGTCATTTTGCAAAGGTGAGCGTGCCTGGAGTCTATAAGCAGCATCCATATATCCAACAAACTTATGCATATTTACAACCTTTCTGGGAAATGCTTTACATATTCACTAGATTTCCTGGAGCTAATTGTAATATTTGCATTTTAATTACGCATGCTCTTCCTTGCTGAGTGGTGGTTTTGAGGGGTCTCTGGTGGTTGCTGACAGTCTTCCTCCCTGTGTCTGCTGATTGACCTGTGTGCTTGTGCAGGTGCAAAAGACTTGTGGATTATTTAAAAACTCTCTGTGGTTTAGGTCAGTTTGTTCTTATTTGTTCCTTATCTTGAAGAACTGGCCCTATATGTCTTGGTTACTCCTTTCTTATCTTCAAAGGCTGCCCTTTTTTTATACATACCCCAAGGCCGTACTGGCCTATCTTGCTCTTAACAGAGTGGTTTTAATTTACAACTTAACATTTTAGCTTACAGGCCTATGAACCAACTTCCAAATTAAAAGTTCAAAACCAGCAACCTAAAAGATAGTAGTAAGAGGAGAAGACGAGAAAGAAACTAAAACTTCGTTAATATATTTGAGCATTTGAGGAAGTGACTCAACTCATGGAGCCCTATACTAAGTAATAGTAGCAGTTCTTCCGGAAACTGATTTGTAGTACTCGCTAAGAACTTGCCAACAAAGTTTAAGTTGACAAGCAGGTATTCTTTATTGCAGCACTGGGAGACACGGGGGATAGCCCTTCCTAGCTTGTCTCAGCCAAACCTCAAACAGACTGTGGTTATATTGTTGCTTGTCATACATATTCATTTAACTGAGAACCGCTTTACGTAATTCCACACCCATTTCCGCATGCGCACAACAATGTGGTAGTGGTCTTTGGGGGTCACTTACTTCTTCCAACAATCTTCATCACTTTCTGGCAATCTCTGAAGAATGTGCAGTAGATAATGCTTACACCAGCTTAACTGGTTCAGTAACACTGCAGGCATAATCATCTCGTCCTTCGGTTAGCTTAGCCACAGCACATCCTAGACATCTGCTAGCTTCAGATACTCTTTATCTACATGTCCTGTTTTTCTGTCCTGTTTTTCTTACAATTATTTTTGCACTAAGGTCATAAGGACCTAAAACTACGCCAACTACAACGATTTATCTTATACAAGGATTCTCATGTTCTTTGGGTGAATTCTGACTAGTTTTTGTGAAACATTTACCTGAGTTACTTTCTATTGCTAATGTTACAAAGCCATCAAACAATGTTATTTAGAACTGATTTTACTTATTTACAAAAGATTTTGTACTTCCTTGTCTCAAAACAATAATAAAACAATTTCGTCCCCACATTGCCTTTTGAGTGCATCAGGCCATATGCTTAAGCACTTCAATAAATTATTGAATGTTGGCAGAAGGCAGAGTTATGGTTGGGTCAGCCCTGAGATTAGATCATCACCCTAAATTATAGAGTTAAAACATTACAGAAAAATAATTCTTACTATTAAAGAATCATAGAATAGTTAGGGTTGGAAAGGACCTTAAGATCATCAAGTTCCAACCCCCCTGCCATGGGCAGGGACACCTCACACTAAACCATATCACCCAAGGCCTTGTACAACCTGGTCTTGAACACTGCCAAGAATGGAGCATTCACAACCTCCCTGGGCAACCCATTCCAGTGCCTCACCACCCTAACAGGAAAGAATTTCCTCCTTATATCCAATCTAAACTTCCCCTGTTTAAGTTTGAACCCTTTATCCCTTGTGCTATCGCTACAGTCCCTAATGAAGAGTCCCTCCCCAGCATCCCTATAGGACCCCTTCAGATACTGGAAGGCTGCTATGAGGTCTCCACACAGCCTTCTCTTCTCCAGGCTGAACAGCCCCAACATTCTCAGCCTATCTTCATACGGGAGGAGCTCCAGTCCCCTGATCATACTCGTGGCCCTTCTCTGGACTTGTTCCAACAGTTCCATGTCCTTTTTATGTTGAGGACACCAGAACTGCACACAATACTCCAGGTGAGGTCTCACAAGAGCAGAGTAAAGGGGCAGGATCAACTCCTTCGACCTGCTGGTCACACTCCTTTTGATGCAGCCCAGGATACGGTTGGCTTTCAGGGCTGCGAGCGCACACTGCCGGCTCATGTTCATTTTCTCATCAACCAACACCCCCAAGTCCTTCTCCGCAGGGCTGCTCTGAATCTCTTCTCTGCCCAACCTGTAGCTGTGCCTGGGATTGCTCCGACCCAGGTGTAGGACCTTGCACTTGACATGGTTAAAATTCATGAGGTTGGCATCAGCCCACCTCACAAGCGTGTCAAGGTCCCTCTGGATGGCATTCCCTCCCTCCAGCTGTGAACCACACAGCTTGGTGTCATCGGCAAATTTGCTGAGGGCGCACTCAATCCCACTGTCCATGTCAGCGACGAAGATGTTAAAGAAGACCGGTCCCAACACCGATCCCTGAGGGACACCACTCGTTACTGGTTTCCAGCTGGACATTGAGGCATTGACCACAACTCTTTGTATGCGGCCATCCAGCCAGATCTGTATCCATCGAGTGGTCTATCCATCAAATTGATGTCCCTCCAAGTTAGAGACAAGGATGTTATGTGGGACAGTGTCGAACGCTTTACACAAGTCCCGGCAGATGACATCAAGTGCTCTACCCCTGTCCATCAGTTCCGCAGCCCCATCACAGAAGGTCACCAAATTGGTCAGGCAGGATTTCCCCTTAGTGAAGCCATGCTGGCTGTCACCAAGCACCTTGTTGTTTTTCATGTGCCTTAGCATGCCTTCCAGGAGAATCTGCTCCAAGATTTTGCCAGGCACAGAGGTGAGACTGACTGGTCTGTAATTCCCTGGGTCATCCATTTTCCCCTTCTTGAAAATGGGGGTTATATTTCCCTTTTTCCAGTCGTCGGGAACTTCACCTGACTGCCATGATTTCTCAAATATGATGGCCAGTGGCTTAGCAATTTCATTCACCAGCTCCTTCAGGACCCGCAGATGGATTTCATCAGGACCCATGGACTTGTGCACATTCAGATTTTTAAGATGGTCTCGAACCAGTTCCTCTCCTACAGTGGACCCAAGGTCTTCGTTCTCACTGTCCCTGCGTCTGCCTTCCAAGACTTGGGTGGTGTGGTCAGAGCCTTTGCCAGTGAAGACGGAGGCAAAGAAGTCATTCAGAACCTCAGCCTTCTCCAAATCCTCTGTAGCTAGTTCTCCCGAGAACTTCCTGAGGGGGCCTACGTTCTCCCTTGTCTGTTTTTTATTTGCTACGTACCTGTAGAATACCTTCCTGTTATCCTTAATATCCCTAGCCAAGTTTAATTCTAACTGGGCCTTAGCTTTCCTAACCTGGTCCCTAGCTTCCCGGACAACATCCCTGTACTCTTCCCAGGCCGCCTGTCCTTGCTTCCACTTATTATAAGCCTCTTTCTTCATTTGAATTTTCCTCAGCAGCTCCTTATCCATCCAAGGAGGTCTCCTGGCCCTCCTGCTGCGCTTCCTTCTAGTTGGGATGCAACACTCCTGAGCTTGTAGCAGGTGATCCTTGAATATCAACCGAGAGTCTTTGGCCCCCCTGCCCTCTAGGCCTATATCCCATGGAACCTTGCTAAGCAGGTTTCTGAATAGGCCAAAGTCTGCTCTTTTGAAGTCCAAGGCAGTGAGCTTGCTGCACGCTCTTCTCACTGTTCTGAGGATCTCAAATTCAACCATCTCGTGATCGCTGCATCCAAGGCTTCCCTGGAGTGTCAGATTTCCAATGAGCCCTTCCCTGTTGGTGAGCACGAGATTCCAAGAGTAGTTTCTCAAGCTTCAATTCTGGCAGAATTGTGATGATAAAATCTATTAGATCTGATATGGTGCAATCTCTTGAGAAAAATAAGCATAGACATTTTTAATTTCCTCAATTAGATTCTGTCACAAAAGTAATTTTTTAAAACTGATACAACTGCAGCAATGAAAGAACTTTTAAAATCTGTGTAACAGATATTTACACATACAGAGAATAGTTCTACTAAAAGCATCCTCGTTTATTTTTAGCTTCCCTTGTAATTTCACAGCAGATACATAAAGCCAAACATTAAATGCAAATACCATCTCTCAGCCCATATACTAGCATTTAACAGCTCACACCCATGTTTGTGAGATAAGACATCAGTGGAAGACAGGTTCTCAATATAGCTGAGAACAAAGACAGCAGAAGTAGAAAAAAGGGAATAAAAAAATGGATACTGAAAATCACACAATAGTGAGATGAAGCATGAGATCGTATGGCACAGGCTGCACCTTTTCATAGTGTGCAAGGGGAGACAGAACTGGCAACCTGCCTCTGGAAAACACTGGAAAGGAAAAGCCAGGGTGTTTTGCCTGCCTTTTCCTGTGCTCACTCTTTTGCCATGCTTTCAGTAGAGCTTGTTAAGTGTTTGTAAATCTTTTTTTCCCCCAAAGTTGGTTGGTTTTGGTTTAATGAATTCTTTACAATTCAGTTTTAAAAGGCTTTGGCTGTAGCTGAGGTTAAAAGAAAGATGATATGGGAAAAGGACAGAAAAATAGGTAATACAACAGTAGTAAGCGTGGTATTCATCTATGCTTGTCTCCCCTGCTTCACAAATTAAACAAGAGCTGGAGATGTTTGTCATTAGTCAGATGCATGAAAAATTATACTGCGCAAAAGGTCCTTAGCATCTGTAATAGCAGCCTGAGATGTAGCTGTAGGCTGTACTCACTCAAAACACATCAAGTCTAGACTCAAGCTTATCTGAGGAACATACTGAAGACCTTGTGGGTAGAAGGCGCATCTCCTCTCACACAGAGCAGGAGACCTCTGTCTTCACATGGATAGATTTCTTCTCTGTCAAAATAATGGCTATCTGAGGAATTTTTAAAGTTTAAGGATAGCCTTTGCAGCATGCCTAGGTAACTGAGTTTGAGTTACACAGTTCATCAACTTCCCCTAGAATTTTAAGAATCCCAATACAACCATTCAAGAGATGAAAAAGGCCTGTGATCTTTTCACGTAATCTTGCAGAAGTTTCCTGCTCTGGCAAAATAAATTGTTTGTTTATTTTCCAAGTGCCATGTTGGTCTTCCAATTTCTTTGCTGCGTACGTTCTAACACATATGCTGCCTTCTCTTGGATTAGATTCCTGCTTTTGGAGGAATTAAGATTGGCTTAATTTATTAACTCTTCCTAGAAAGCCAGTTTACTTTTCTTCTGCTTCCATTTTTATTCAAATTACTCCTGACTTTCATGGCTTGTGTCTTCCATAACAATGCTACAATTCAGTAATTAGCTTTCATTCTGAAGCAATAAATTTCAATTTCCTTATTTTTACTTCAGAGCTTTCCTGACTAGACTCCTTCCCTTATATTTTAACACTGCTGTTAGGAATTAAAAAGAAAGAAAAGAGAACAGTCAAAATACCATTAACATTCTTTCAGCACATTTATGTGTTTCTCATATCTCTTCTAGAGTAATAGGTTGCACATGTAGCAGAGCTGCTTAGGGCTTTCTTCAGCAAGTATGTTGCTTTACCTTTTTTTTTTTTTACCTTTTTTTTTTCTTCCCCCCCCCCCCAAGGGGAGTAGAAACATGAGAGTAAATTATTAAGTAAAGATTGTTTTGGGGAAGGGGCCAAAGCAAAACAGACACTTAAGACAAACTTTAAGTAATACTCCACATTTACATTTCATGAGAAAATGTAAGTTTAAAAGTGCTGTGCATTGAGAGTTACACATGTGTAACGGGACAAAACATCTCCGAGATTTGCTAAGAAATACTGTCTTCTCTGTATTACTTTTCCTAGAGACATTAATTTCTCTTTTCTAACAGATTTATGTACGATTTCTCGACTATCAAATGGAGCATTCAAATGAATGCAAAAGAAACTTTGTTGCTGTGTATGATGGAAGTAGTTCTATTGAAAACCTGAAGGCAAAGTTCTGCAGTACGGTAGCAAACGATGTCATGCTGCAGACTGGGATGGGTGTGGTGCGGATGTGGGCAGACGAAGGCAGTAGGCTAAGCAGATTCAGAATGCTGTTCACTTCATTTGTGGATCGTAAGTAGATTTTAAACTGCCTATTCTCCTGGGATCAGGGTACTTTTTCAGGTATATTTTAGGAAAAGCATCAGCTATATATTATGCAGCAGGAACACATGAAAAAGGTTGTTTCCATTTCCTTCATGTACTGGCATCTAAATTAAATACTTGCTTTATTACAGTTATAAGCATGGTTCCTGAAGAAAGGCTTTCCTCCAGTCTTAAAAGGTTTATTTTTCATTTGAATTCAGTAATAATACAGCCCTAAGCTATGTCATTCTCACAAAGATTTCTACAGATGAGCACAGGCTTACTTAAAGAAGACAGCAGTGGGACTGAAGTGTGCTCTCCCATTAGCCTTCATCTTCCAGTTCTCTGCCAGATACCACAACAGGCTCTTCTCAAGCCCATACTGGATGTTCAGAAGGCTAGAGAACACGTGTGACCCTGCAGAGTCTGGATCTGGAAGTACACCCACTCCAGCTATACCTAAGCTGCTACCTCCTTCTCAGCTGCACATGGCTTGGAGCGATCCCACACGTGCTCCCTTAGGAAAGTCCAGTTGTGTTGCACAACTGTGGATAAGCAGTTAAATTCAAATTTATTTAAGAAGGCTATATTAAAAGCAGAGCTGTAAATGCAAACTGGATTTCTGTTTGTATCTCATAGCCCAGGGTGGAGATAGTCTTTATTCCCATTGTAAATGAAGACGTTTCCTGAAAGTGAGATTTTCTTTGAAGTGCTTTCTCTCTGAATTTACTGGAATTTTGTTGCCTCACATATTTATAAAGGACAACATTGTCCACATTGCAGAACCTGAAAATAAGTAGCATCTTCAGGACTAAAGTAGACTAAGTTCAGAACTGCAGAGAAGATCTGCGATACACGGGGAGAGCTGAATAAAGCATATCTGCCACTTCAGGAAATCAAACCTATGCTTGTGTCAAAGGTTTTCAAAAGACTCACTCTGCTTGAAGAATAAGTAGTACAAATTTGCTGTCAAAGAAATACCTTTCTCGACAGAACATGTCTGTAGCCAGTCCTGAAAGGGATCCTGGTCACCACCTTACAAAAAAGTTTAGGTTACAGATAAGAAGTGGATTTTATATTCTGTTCCATAAAACAGTAATTTTTTAACACAGGTGAAAAGTTACTTTCTGTAAAACAATCTTTCTAAAAAGACTGACAGAGACTTAAGAGAAATATCTTATTGCTTACTTTGCCTACATGGTAAAATAATGATTATTGCCTAGATGTAAAATAAACAATTGCATGGGTCAAACTAGTCTATTGTTTAAGCTACAAGAGGCATTTAGTAAAAGTTACATATTGTGCTTAAAACTGGTATTTACTGCAATTCACAACTTGCAAAAATTGAGAACTGCTTTTCCAGTAGCATTTATTTCAATGCAATTATTGATATTAGTGGTAGTGCAAGTTATTCCAGCTTCCAATCTAGAAAATGCTATGAATTTTGCCAGGGAAATTATCTGTTTATATTACAAATACTGGAGTGGGGTTGGGTTTTTCTTCTGTTGCGTTTGGGTTTTGGGGGGTCTTTTTGTGGTGTTTTTTTGAGTGCAAGAGGTTGAAACAGTAACTAATCCTAAAGTTAGATAACTTTGTTAACTTACAATTTTAAAGCAACTCAAAAGTCATTGGCAGAAGAAAACCTGAAAAGGTATGTGGTTATTATTATCTATGTTCTAACTTCAAATAGCATCTTTATTGGATAGGGCAATTGAAAGGTATGTGTCTGAAAAATGTTTCATGTATTTTTAAATCATAGAATCAGAATCATAGAATAGTTAGGGTTGGAAAGGACCTTAAGATCATCTAGTTCCAACCCCCCTGCCATGGGCAGGGACACCTCACACTAAACCATGTCACCCAAGGCTCTGTTCAACCTGGCCTTGAACACCGCCAGGGATGGAGCATTCACAACTTCCCTGGGCAACCCATTCCAGTGCCTCACCACCCTAACAGTAAAAAACTTCTTCCTTATATCCAGTCTAAACTTCCCTCTGTTTAAGTTTGAACCCATTACCCCTTGTCCTATCACTACAGTCCCTAATGAAGAGTCCCTCCCCAGCATCCTTATAGGCCCCCTTCAGATACTGGAAGGCTGCTATGAGGTCTCCACTCAGCCTTTTTTACTCCAGGCTGAACAACCCCAACTTTCTCAGCCTGTCTTCATACGGGAAGTGCTCCAGTCCCCTGATCATCCTCGTGGACCTCCTCTGGACTTGTTCCAACAGTTCCATGTCCTTTTTATGTTGAGGACACCAGAACTGTACACAATACTCCAAGTGAGGTCTCACGAGAGCAGAGTAGAGGGTCAGGATCAAAGGAAGCTCCTACCAGAAGTGGGGTAAGCAATTTTTCTAACTGAAAAAAAAAAAAAGTGAATCCTTGCTTATCTTATTTTCAGATCATGAGGCTATTTTTGTCTTCTACCTTACTAATGATTTGTAATTATATGAAGCCAACCATGAAAATGATCAGTATTTCTGAAAAAAATTGCATAAAAGTACTAATTGTGCATGACAGTCACCTAACACATGCCTAGAGCTTTTTGCAGAATCGACTTATGTTAAAAATCAATGTATTTGATTTCTGGCTTGGTTCAGTACATGAATAATGCTAGATACAAAGAACACTGAACATTGCACCAGCTGTTATGAGAAGAGTCCAGCTTGGGTGACATAGCCTAGTGTGAGATGTCCCTGCCCATGGCAGGGGGGTTGGAACTAGATGATCTTAAGGTCCTTTCCAACCCTAACTATTCTATGATTCTATGATTCTATGTCCTTGAAGCCCTGGAGTGGCTTCAATCATTGTGACACAATCAATCATTGTGACTTTTAGACTTGGTAATCCCCAGATAAACAAAAGGAAAATTAAGTCTATTTGTCCCATCTTTATAAACTTGTGAACAAAAGCCATCCCCAAAATACGGTAAGGAGACTTCACAGAAATGTAAAATAGAGACTGTACTGGCAGATGGAGAAGCAGCAACAGAATGCATCATCCAAATATACAGAAAGATGAAACAAATTCCCCTGTTCAGGGGAAATAAAGGGAATGTGTCTTACATCGTAACTCTTCCTCTGTGCCTCCAAAAGAACTACAACTCCATACAGATCCATACTGGAACACCAACAGATACACATGGATCCATGATAACCACTCTGGACACAAATTTCATAGTCCGTCCTTTATGTCAGAAATACTTCAGTAGGTATTGTAGCCTTTTACATACATAGCCTTTTTAAGCTATTCTGTTTAAATGACAATCCTATTTACCCTTTATAAAGTAAAGCTTGTGCAGTCTTTCTTTCCAAATTCAAAAGGAGAACCTGCCTACTCCCTTTTTCTGTCACAGACTCTGAAGCCTCACAGGAGAAGTGAGAAATTCTGTATTCAGGACTAGTCACCCTCCTCTGCCGTACCCTTTGGGTTTTGTATTGTGCTTCAGAGAATCCAGACTGCTCAAGAGAAAATTCCTTCTATGAAACCAAAGAGTAGAACATCTACCATACATCTTTGCTGTTTAATGTATAACTGACTCCACTGATAATAGACATTTCTATCAGAAAAATGCCACATTAATGAGACAAGGAGAAAATAATTTTCTTGTCCGGTGCTCTGAATCCATAAAGAATTCCCTATGAATATTACAGAACATACTGAAAAGAATTACTAATATTTTTTAGCATATTTTTTTTAATGTCAAGGAGCTATACCAAACATTCACAGAAACAAAATCTTTAGGGCAACTTTCTACTTCATTTATTTCTTCAAATTTCTAAATATATATAGACAGATAAAAAGCTAAACTGTACTCTCTCAATCCCTGCATTAGATCTAATAGGAGGATCTAGGAGCTTTGATTCACAAGCAAGAATGACTTAGATGCCTCCAGTTTCTGAAATCTCTTACAATTACTGAAACAGTCCTCCAGAAGCTGAAATCTGATTTGCCTTGAGATATTAATGGGCTCTACAATGCGTATGTTCAGGAACTGCTTCACAACATCTACATAGCAGATGCACAGCAGACTGAACAAATATAAACTGATTTTGAGCATACAATTTTTACGTATTTAAAGCCAAGTATTTTAAAACCAAGTATTAAAGCATTATTTTAAAGGCAAGTATTAAAGCCTTCTTCCATTATCTGTGTTGTGACTGTCTCTATCTGCTGCCCATTTTGAGAGAGAATTTTTTTGTAGCATTGGTAATGCCCTTGTCAGAAACCATATAAAGGGAGTAAATCATCCAGTAATTAGTGATGTGCAAGAAAAGTGCTTGTGTTTGAAATGGAGATAAAGAATTAGTATGCATGTTAAAAAAAAAAAAAAAAAGCAAACAAAAAAAAACACCAACAAACACCCTGCCCCCCCCCCCCCCCCACGAAATTTACTAATTTTATTGCAGTGCATCAATTACTGAAAATTCCTAATGTTTTCTTTCTCTTCTCTCCTGCAGCTCCCTGCTCAGGCAACACTTACTTCTGCCATAGCAACATGTGCATCAATACTTCTTTAGTGTGCAATGGCATTCAGAACTGTGCATACCCTTGGGATGAAAATCACTGCAGAGGTGAATATTATACAAAGTATAGCCTTTGTGAGCTAGGCTGGTCAATTTGCCTTTCAAGAAAGTCATGAAATGTATTCTTCCTGGAAATATGCTGAAGACAGCTATTCTACTAATCTCAGACGGGTGTTTCAAATTTTTTATTTAAACTCAGGAGACGTGCAAGCATCCTGAATATTGATCTTACTGCTTTATAATTAAATTTCTTCCTCTTCAGCATAAAGTATCTTATTTTAAAGGGATGTCAGCTTAATAGGAAATAGAAATTAGTATTTGCCAGGTTGCAGCCTATTGATTCCTAAACTTTAAAGGAAGCAAGGATTGTATGGACAGGTAATACCTTTTAGAGAAAAAAATACAGAGCTTGAAAAAGACACAAGCCTTCAAGCACAAAAAGCCTTGGGCAACAGTCTTCAAAGAGAAAGACAATTTTAAAACACTTTTTTTAAGTTGTTAATCACAGGCTATCTCAGAGTAAATGCAGCTGCTGCATATGATGTGAGAACGGGTAGGAGGAATTGTTTAGGAAGCAGAAGTCATCGCTTATGGAAAATGAACACATGTAATTCACTTCTTCTAGAAGATGGGGTGCAGGAGTATTGTTGAAATCATCACAGCTACAGGAAAAATGTGTCTCAATATCAGGTTTTGTAGGAAAAATTCTCATAATATGAGGAACTTGTTATTCTGCTAAAGTACAAATATGTTCACCTGTGCTTCAACAATCACTGAGTTTTCAGAGTTGGAACAAAACAAATTTAAGGTCATCAGTTTTTCTTGCTAAAAGAAAACCAGAAAAGAACACATGTGAGCAGGGATTTTTTTTTTTATTTTTAGACAAAGAATGGCATAAATGCTCTGAACGCATGACTCCAGAAAGTTTTAAATACGTACTGCATTTCAAAGAGAAATTGACCCTAAGGAAGGGTCAAAACCTCCTTTACAGAAAATCTTGAAATAAAATGGCTTTTCAACACACAAATCCTGCTTAATTTTTTTAGTAAATACATATTAAAAACCTTACTTTGACATTTTATTTGGGGCAAACAAAAAAATGCACACCACTCATAAATACTCTAATGCAAGGTATATTCTGGAAGCTTTCCAGTTAACAAAACTGATTCATAACTCCCAAGTTTTCAGTGTAAAAGTGAGCTCCTCTAAACAGTACTTAGCTTTGTTAATATTCGGTATTCCCTCTTAAGTGCAATTTCCAGATCTCTTTCCCATCTTTACCAACCACTTCCTAGAATTTTGCTTAGAATTCACACTTTACATACTGCAGTATTTAAAAAATTAATTCCATGAAAACCGTGTCACAATGTGAAGAAAGTGTCTTTCCCAGTTTTTGCAAATTGCTGTATCTGCTGCTGAATAACCTACCATGCTTTATGCTGAATACAGTCTAAATTTTGCTGTAATACTTGCACAGCAGATAATGAAGAGACAGCTGAAGACTGGATCCATATTGCCAGCTTAGGCAGACTGAAGGGAGACTGCTGCAACCAAATAAGCAATATCTAGCCTTAAAAAGAAAGCTTCTCACAGTTGTGTAAAATTCCTTCCGGCACCCAGAGTTCTCATGTAGTCTGTACTGATAGCTACCTAAATCTGAGCATATTGTGACCTAAGCCCAGTGGCACAAAAACTGATAGGAAAGTCAGTTGTGCGCCATTTATTTTAAGAGATTGGAGAATACATCACCTTTTGCATAACAACTTTTTGACCGGAGTATCTTCCAAGAATTAAGAAACCTAGGCACAGATGAGAGAACTGCCATAGCGCTGAAATTCATACCTCCCACAATGTATGGTAATGCTGAAATCTAAGCTAGGCATGTTTAAACCATGACAGCAGGACAAGGGAGATATCCTCCTTCACATTAAAGGGACAAGTGTAACTCAGAGTAAGACAGTCTACACTCTGAAGTAGAACTGTATTTCAGACATAACTTCTTACTAGCCAACTCCTTGGGAGTCTGTTTAGTGTATGAATTGTTTCAAATAGTGTATGATGGTGTAGAACTGTCTCCAGGCACTGTGTGCAGAGTACTTAAGTGCATAATACATATATCCAGATGGCAGGAGCCAGATATCTGAAAATAACATGCAACATCTAGGCTACTGTATTTTCTTCTACATAATCTTAAATGCTTTTTCCCCCCAGTAGAGGATGTTGCAGAATCTCAGTGTAGAATTATTTTAGTCCCCTAGGACAATCGTAGAACCATAGAATGCTTTGGGTTGAAGGGGCCTTAAAGCTCATCCATTTCCAACCCCCTTTCATGGGGCAGGGACATCTTCCACTAGACCAGACTGCTCAAGGCCCGTCCAACCTGGCCTTGAACACTGCCAGACAAGTACATTTACAGAAAAGAAATCCAAACGGAAAAACTTAATCTCCAAATAAGAATTTTTAGTATGGAAACCATCTTGTGCTGGTGCTGCCATCTTGTGTTCATATGAAGTACTAGCCAAAAGTGCCATATGATAAGGGTTGGTTGGTCCATGTCTGTTCCCCCCAGGCCCTCTTTTTTTTTTTTTTTTTCCATCTGACTTGATTACTGGACTGTTAAAACTGGAATATATCTATGTTAAAGCTCCTTGTAAACAAATAGTACAGTCACCTTCACATCATCACTATGATAATATTTCCCTTTTAAGGAAGAAATAGATAATTTTAAATCTATGTTTCCTTCTATTGACATCAATGGGAATGTTACCAGCAGGAGCAAAACATGATAAGAGAAGTATCAGCTGTAGCTGTTACTTTAAGCCTACTTAACTTGTGGATTTTGGAATGTGAACTGATCAGTAGAGGTTCAGGATTAAAGCCACATCCTAGCTCAGTCAGCCTACGCTGGCCACAGAGTTCCACCTGCCACTGAAATACCATGTGGTGGCCAGTAACAGACAGGGAATTAGACTTGCTGAACAAATGCACAGATCCAGGATGATAAATCCCATTGACACACAGATCTAGTCTCCAATGCCATTAAGTCATTAAGCATGATCAAAAATGTGAAAAATCATAAACCCGTCATCATAAGCCTAATTTTTTCTTTGCAGAAAAGAAAATAACTGGATTGTTTGAACAAATCACCAAAACTCATGGAACAATCATTGCCATCACATCAGGGATAGTTTTAGTACTTCTCATCATTTCAATTCTAGTACAAGTAAAGCAACCTCGCAAAAAGCTTATGGCTTGCAAGACTTCTTTCAATAAAGCTGGCTTCCAGGAAGTATTTGATCCTCCACATTATGGACTATTTTCATTAAGGGACAAAGAAATTTCTGCAGATCTGGAAGATTTATCAGAGGAACTTGAAAACTACCAGAAAATGAGACGCCCTTCAACAGCTTCCAGATGCATTCGTGACCACCACTGTGGTTCCCAGGCCTCTAATGCCAAACAAAGCAGGACAAACCTCAGCTCCATGGAACTTCCCTTCTGCAATGACTTTGCACAGCCTCAGCCAATGAAAACATTTAACAGCACATTCAGGAATAGTTACACTTTCAAACAAGTGCATGACTGCCCTGAACAAGTCATAGAAGACAGGGTGATGGAGGAGATTCCGTGTGAAATTTATGTTCGAAGAAGAGAAGATATGACACAAGGTTCATTATCTATTGACTTTTGATTTCCTAGTGAAGGTGGTATCAGTGTCTATACAAGATGCTTGTGTATAATGCCTGAATATATTCAAAGTGTATTATATGCAGCGTGAGATGCACACACTTTTAGCTTGTTATACTTCATTTAAAAAAAAAGTCTGCCTAACTAATTCTTGCTGAGAAATGGTGGATTTCCTCCCATCTTCCCAAGCTACCTACCTAGTGGAGGAGTAAGACAGAGACTTTGCATGAATATTATAAGTAAAGGATATTGGAAGAAAAAAACAGCTACTAATCACTTAAGACCGAAACCAATGATACTATTCTCTTACTCATATCATTTTCTCTTCTTTAGATGCCTGCATTTCAAGACAATTTTAATACCTCAGTTAGTTACATAAATAAAAGTGCACCGCATGTATGTCAACATATGAGTCTTATTTTATTTGTCAAATTGAAAGTAGTGCTAAATGCCAGTTGAGACTCGAGAATTATGTTACAGCCATCTGTTTAATCTTGCCTACTATTTATATTGCCTTCAATGATCAGTTCCTCACTCTATGTTTTCTGAGAAATAAGTGAAAAGGATTACTGCCTTTTAAAATTCCAAGTCACATAAATTTTAGTACATTTGAACATATGTAATTTTGCAGCTTCTGGTTAAAACAAAAGTAAGTACCCATGTTAGTCTAGATGCAGACTTTTACAATAGTATTCTGTCACGGTTTAAGCCCAGCCGGTAACTCAGAACCACGCAGCCACTCACTCACTCCTCCCCTTTCTCCCCAGTGCTCCAAGAGGGATGGGGAGGAGAATCGAAAGAATGTAAATAACTCCCACGGGTTGAGATAAGAATAGTCCGGCAACTAAGGCATAATACAAAACCACTACTACCACTACCACTACCACCAATAATAATGATGATAAGAGAAATAAGAAAGGGAAAGAATATAAAACTAAAAGGGAAAAAGAAAAGACAACAAAAACAATAAACACAAATGATGCACAATGCAATTTCTCACCACCCACCAACCGATACTCTGCCGACCCAAGCAGTGATCTGGGCCTTCTAGGTAACTCCCCCCAATTTATATAGTGGGCATGAAGTGCTGTGGTATGGAATACCCCTTTGGCTACTTGGGGTCAAGTGTCCTGTCTCTGCTTCCTCCTGGCTTACTGTGCCCTTCCTCACAGGCAGAGCATGAGACTGAGAAAGTCCTTGGTCGGAGTAAACATTACTTAGCAACAACTAAAAACATTGGTGTTACCAGCATTGTTCCCAGGCTGAAAGTCAAAAACACAGCACTGCACCAGCTACTAAGAAGGAGAAAAATGACTGCTACAGCAGAACCCAGCTGAACTGTACACAGTACTCCTAGTGAGGTCTCACGAGAGCAGAGTGGAAGGGCAGGATCACCTGCTTTGACCTGCTGGTCAAACTCCTATTTGATGCAGCCCAGGATACAGTTGGCTTTCTAGGCTGCGAGTGCACACTGCCGGCTCATGTTAAGTTTCTCATCGACCAACACCCCCAAGTCCTTCTCTGCAGGGTTGCTCTGAATCTCTTCTCCACCCAATCTGTAGCTGTGTCTGGGACTGCTTTGACCCAGGTGTAGGACCTTGCACTTGGCTTTGTTAAAATCCATAAGGTTGGCATCGGCCCACCTCACAAACGAGTCAAGGTCCCTCTGGATGGCATTTCTTCCCTCCAGGGTATCAACCGAACCACACAGCTTGGTGTCATCGGCAAACTTGCTGAGGGCGCACTCAATCCCAATCTCCATGTCACCGACAAAGATGTTGAACAAGACCCAATACCAATCCTGAGGGAAACCACTCGTTACTGGTCTCCAGCTGGACATTGAGCCATTGACCATAACTCTTTGCATGCGGCCATCCAGCCAGTTCTTTATCCTCCGAGTACTCCTGTCGTGGTTTAAACCCAGACACACAGCTCGTTCACTCACTCCCTCCCTTCCTCCCTCTTTCTTTCCTTCACCACCACGCCCCCCCCACTCCCGGAGGGATGGGGTGGAGAATCGAAAGAATGTAACTCCCAAGGGTTGAGATAAGAACAGTCCAGTAACTAAGGTATAACACAAATCACTGCTGCTACCATTAATAATAGTAATTATAAGAGAAAATAACAAGGGAAGAGAATATGATACCACCCGCTGAAATGAGTCCAACCCCGGAATATTTCATATTTCCAGGAAGAATACATTTCATGACTTTCTTGAAAGGCAAATTGACCAGCCTAGCTCACAAAGGCTATACTTTGTATAATATTCACCTCTGCAGTGATTTTCATCCCAAGGGTATGCACAGTTCTGAATGCCATTGCACACTAAAGAAGTATTGATGCACATGTTGCTATGGCAGAAGTAAGTGTTGCCTGAGCAGGGAGCTGCAGGAGAGAAGAGAAAGAAAACATTAGGAATTTTCAGTAATTGATGCACTGCAATAAAATTAGTAAATTTCGGGGGGGGGGGGGGGGGCAGGGTGTTTGTTGGTGTTTTTTTTTGTTTGCTTTTTTTTTTTTTTTTTTAACATGCATACTAATTCTTTATCTCCATTTCAAACACAAGCACTTTTCTTGCACATCACTAATTACTGGATGATTTACTCCCTTTATATGGTTTCTGACAAGGGCATTACCAATGCTACAAAAAAATTCTCTCTCAAAATGGGCAGCAGATAGAGACAGTCACAACACAGATAATGGAAGAAGGCTTTAATACTTGCCTTTAAAATAATGCTTTAATACTTGGTTTTAAAATACTTGGCTTTAAATACGTAAAAATTGTATGCTCAAAATCAGTTTATATTTGTTCAGTCTGCTGTGCATCTGCTATGTAGATGTTGTGAAGCAGTTCCTGAACATACGCATTGTAGAGCCCATTAATATCTCAAGGCAAATCAGATTTCAGCTTCTGGAGGACTGTTTCAGTAATTGTAAGAGATTTCAGAAACTGGAGGCATCTAAGTCATTCTTGCTTGTGAATCAAAGCTCCTAGATCCTCCTATTAGATCTAATGCAGGGATTGAGAGAGTACAGTTTAGCTTTTTATCTGTCTATATATATTTAGAAATTTGAAGAAATAAATGAAGTAGAAAGTTGCCCTAAAGATTTTGTTTCTGTGAATGTTTGGTATAGCTCCTTGACATTAAAAAAAATATGCTAAAAAATATTAGTAATTCTTTTCAGTATGTTCTGTAATATTCATAGGGAATTCTTTATGGATTCAGAGCACCGGACAAGAAAATTATTTTCTCCTTGTCTCATTAATGTGGCATTTTTCTGATAGAAATGTCTATTATCAGTGGAGTCAGTTATACATTAAACAGCAAAGATGTATGGTAGATGTTCTACTCTTTGGTTTCATAGAAGGAATTTTCTCTTGAGCAGTCTGGATTCTCTGAAGCACAATACAAAACCCAAAGGGTACGGCAGAGGAGGGTGACTAGTCCTGAATACAGAATTTCTCACTTCTCCTGTGAGGCTTCAGAGTCTGTGACAGAAAAAGGGAGTAGGCAGGTTCTCCTTTTGAATTTGGAAAGAAAGACTGCACAAGCTTTACTTTATAAAGGGTAAATAGGATTGTCATTTAAACAGAATAGCTTAAAAAGGCTATGTATGTAAAAGGCTACAATACCTACTGAAGTATTTCTGACATAAAGGACGGACTATGAAATTTGTGTCCAGAGTGGTTATCATGGATCCATGTGTATCTGTTGGTGTTCCAGTATGGATCTGTATGGAGTTGTAGTTCTTTTGGAGGCACAGAGGAAGAGTTACGATGTAAGACACATTCCCTTTATTTCCCCTGAACAGGGGAATTTGTTTCATCTTTCTGTATATTTGGATGATGCATTCTGTTGCTGCTTCTCCATCTGCCAGTACAGTCTCTATTTTACATTTCTGTGAAGTCTCCTTACCGTATTTTGGGGATGGCTTTTGTTCACAAGTTTATAAAGATGGGACAAATAGACTTAATTTTCCTTTTGTTTATCTGGGGATTACCAAGTCTAAAAGTCACAATGATTGATTGTGTCACAATGATTGAAGCCACTCCAGGGCTTCAAGGACATAGAATCATAGAATCATAGAATAGTTAGGGTTGGAAAGGACCTTAAGAT